ACGGAACACAGGTTACTGAACACAAAACAGACCAGAGTGAACACTTAACATGAACTAAGATACAGGACTGGGAACAAGGACAAAGAACTAAAACGCAGGAACGAGAGTTAAGGCAGTGACTAAGAAACAATATAACAACTAGACTACCAAACCAAAGCAATATCAAATCAACACAGGACTACAAGCTAGAACACCAGACAAGACATAAACACTAAGGACAAGGAAACGAGAAGAACAGGTAAACAGAAGGACACCAGAAACAAATGGCAAAAGCTACAACTCATGACATCACCCAATTGACGATGGATGGATTTTTAGGGCCCGAGCACGACCGTGCGAGGTCCCTATTGAATCTGCTCGGATTATATTTTTTTTTTTTTTTTTTTTTTTTTTTTTTTTTTTTCTGCAAAGTAGGCCCAAATGACATGGCCTAAACATACTCGAAAACTCACCAAAATTTGCAAACATGTCAGAACCGGTGAAAAATTTCGTATTCTACAAGTTTCGCACATGGGCGTGGCAAAATGACTCGCTAGCGCCACCTTGAAAATTGGAAATGATTAGCCCCTCGTTCACGTTCAACCTACATGTACGAAATTTTCTGGGGACATGTATCGTATCAAGACGCACAAAAAAGCCTCAAGAACCCATAGCCTAAAGTCAACAGGAAGTCGGCCATTTTGAATTTTATGGCCATTTTTGGATGATTTACACACTTCGTACTTTAACGAACTCCTCCTAGGGATTTAGTCGGATCGACGTCAAATTTCTGCTGTGCCTTCTAAAGGCATTGACGATGAAAAGTTGTGCTATTTGCGCGTTTTCGTCAATGGGCGTGTCCGTGGCGTCGATGATTCGCAATGAAACAGGAAGTTGTTGTAACTTCAGTGTACATGCTCACATCTGGACCAAACTGTACATGTAGGATGAGAGTCCCGCCCTGAACACATGTACATGCCGACATTCACCCACAGTCATAGCGCCACCTGCTGGCAACAGAAAGTGACCTTTAACGAAGCAGCCCCCGCCGCACGTTTCACCTACGTGCACGAATTTTCTGTGGTACGTGTATCTTGTCCAGATGCACAAAAAAGCCTCTTGGAGCCATAGCCTAAAATCAACAGGAAGTCGGCCATTTTGAATTTTACGTCAAATTTTGGATGATTTACACACTTCGTACTTTAACGAACTCCTCCTAGGGATTTAGTCCGACCGACCTCAAATTTCTGCTGTGCCTTCTAAAGGCATTGAAGATGAAAAGTTGTGCTATTTGCAAGTTTTCGTCAATGGGCGTGTCCGTAGCGTGGCGTCAAAGATCAACTCTTCGCCATGACACGGAAGTTGTCGTAACTTCAGTGTATATGCTCACATCTGGACCAAACTGTACATGTAGGATGAGAGTCCCGCCCTGAACACATGTACATGCTGACATTCACCCACAGTCATAGCGCCACCTGCTGGCAACAGGAAGTGACTTTTAACGAAGCAGCCCCCGCCGCACGTTTCACCTACGTGCACGAATTTTCTGTGGTACGTGTATCTTGTCCAGACGCACAAAAAGTCTCTTGGAGCCATAGCCTAAACCCAACAGGAAGTCGGCTATTTTGAATTTTACGTCAAATTTTGGATGATTTACACACTTCGTACTTTAACGAACTCCTCCTAGGGATTTAGTCCGACCGACTTCAAATTTGTGCTGTGCCTTCTAAAGGCATTGAAGATGAAAAGTTGTGCTATTTGCGAGTTTTCGTCAATGGGTGTGTCCGTGGCGTGGCGTCAGAGATCAAGTCTTCGCCATGACACAGGAAGTTGTTGTAACTTCAGTGTACATGCTCACATCTTAACCAAACTTTACGTGCTTGATAACTCTCCCATCCCGTTATGGAGGACCGATCCTGACACAGCCAGAAATAAATACAGAAATAAATAAATGCTCAATAAATAAATAAGCATCCAATTAAATACACAAAAAAATAAAGTAAATAAATAAATGTAGGTAGTAATTAAATTATACAAGGAGACATAAATGTTTATATCTTAATTAGTGCCTTCACTTATTCACCTTTGTTATAATTACCTTATTTGTTTATTCAACTTTATTTATTACTAATTTTTTTAATGTATTTATTTATGTGTGTTTTAATATTTTTGTCTGTTTTATTCTTCCTTTGTATTTATTTACCTTATTTATTTTCACCCATGGTATTTATTTCTGCCTGTCTTTTTTAAATTTTTGTATGCATTTCTGCCTCATTATGCAAATGAGGAGGGGCTGTGTCTCAAGGGGTCATCTTCTCTGCTATTGGTGGACCAGTCAGACAGGAGAGCTCCTACTCTGCCTGCAGACATCAACGATCTTGCCCCTCACACAGTCAGATGACTTCCTTCAGTGCGCTGAGGTGTTTAACAACTCTGAAGACAATACTACCAGCAATGTCTTCCTTCTCTTTTCACGTAGACGCTCCGACAGACAGTGCTTTCAGTTTGCTGCATGCATGGACACAGAACTGCGGTAAAGGGAGAAGCACACGGTCAGCTGGCTGCAGCTAAATCTGGAGTGCACTCGTATTCAATTCTGTATGGTAAATTCAGTTTTAACGGAGCAGAGCGAGCTGACAGGCAGAGTTAGAGGCTTTTTCTGTCTGTTTCTCTCTTTACAAAGACGCATGTTGCAGTCAGAGTCTTCTCTGAGATGCGAGCACGACATACAACACAATTTATCAAATTACACAACGGATATACAGTATGAAAATAAGATTGATTGGATTATACTCACAGGACGTATAAAACCTCTTACATGGGTCTATTAAAAGTAAAGTAACACAAAAATGTCAGGGAAATTACTTTACTTAGATTTAAGTACTGCAGTTGTACATTTGAAATACCTTCCTACCTTTCTGATAGGAAGCCTTCTTGAGGTGGTATAAAACATTTCTTCTTATATTCTGATTTGAGTTGTGGACAACTATGACCACATGAATTAAAAAAATATTTCACTGCCCAAGTCAGCTATAACACAAGTCTTGTTCATCAGACTACATGCTGTACAGTATTTGACTACAGATTTTGTCCCAGGATTTCTTATGCATTTCTTCTTCTTCGTTGCATGATCTAGAATAATAAGGTGAGAAATGGGTCTATTCTGAGTTCATCCTGCACTGCAGCAGCTAATAAAGTCCATTTAATCCCAAAAACGCTTTTCTTTTAGGCAGGCTGGAGCAGAACACAACTCACCTTTCTCAAGTTGTACAGTAATGTCACATGTGTATGAAGGTGGATCAAACAAGCTAATCTTAAATGTCAAAGTAGAGAGGATCCTAGTAGGCCTATTTATTTTCATTCATTACACAATATGAATAAGCTATGCAGACAGTTGTAAAGAAAGAACATCTTTTTCTTCTGTTCTCTACTTGTTATAGTTACACAGTATTAGGGGTGTGGGCTGTATTAAAAGTATCCACTGTTCTCCCATGCTCTAACACACAGTAACGATGAAATGTGTGCTGTTCTCACATTCTTCCTCTGTATGTACACATAAACAACAAGGCAGGGAAATATAAAAGGAATTTATTTTATTGTTTGGGTACATTATTGTTCAGTGTACATGTTCACATCTGAAACAAACTTTACGTGCTTGATAACTCTCCCACCCCGCAGACATCTACACACCACTACCGATTTATATTCATAGCGGCAAGTGCTATGTAGCTCCACATAGGGGACACAGGAAGTGACATATAGCACCTTCATGCGGCGTCGGAACCGCGTAGGAAATTCACAGCCGCATCGGCAGAGCTCCAGAATATGCAACTCGGCCGGCTCACACGCGGACGCGCTTATAAGTGCGAGGGCCCGCCCAACGCTGCTTGCAGCTTTAATTTATATATATATCTATATCTATATATATGTATGTATGTTTTTGATATACATATATGTATATATACATACCTGGAATCTGCTGTAGCCACTCTCCCAGTTTGGGGGTCACAGCCCCCAGTGCTCCGATTACCACTGGCACCACGGTTGCTCTTACTTTCCACATCTTTTCTAGCTCCTCTTTCAGCCCTTGGTATTTGTCAAGCTTCTCGTGTACCTTCTTCTTGATGTTGGTGGCGCTTGGGATTGCCACATCTATCACTGCTGCCTTCTTCTGCTGTTTGTCGTTCAACACAAAGTCTGGTTGGTTAGTCATCACAAGTGTGTCGGTCTAGATCTTGAAGCCACACAATAAATATATATATATAAGCATTAAAGCTAACTGGTCCAAAAATTAAATCAAGTGCATTCAGTGTGTGTTAAGCACAGAGTTTGGCATCACATGATCCATGTGATCACATGTTCTTTAGGCAGTGTGTCTTCGTCCTGATGACCTTGAGCCTGCCTGAAGGAAGTTGGTGAGACAGATGGTGACCTGGGTGTGAGGGTGTGATGGGTCTCTATTGATGTTGATGATGGATGAGAATTTATTAATGATTAGGAGAAACAGGATATTTTATTGATCTCATGGAAAATTTATACTTATTTGTAGAAAAATAAATGCCATGTTTCACTACAATATGAATGTATAAATATATTTCAATACAACCATATCTAAATTATTTTAGTAGATGCAGTTTTTGGTGTTTATTGAAATAATGGGTGGTTAATTTACAGGGAAGGTGAGGCATGTAGTCCATGAAATAAACACTGATCCAAAATGGGCATAAATGAAATGCATAGTCCAAAGAAAGAAAACCAAAACTAGAGCAAACATGAACCACGACAATTTAAGCATGAAAGTTCTTTCTTGCTTCAGCAGTAAACATGATATTGTTTGTAATCATCGGAAAAAAATGTCCTCACTATCAGACATGATTATAAGCTGTATGGATGCCACCACAGAGACTGTGACACATTTCTCTCTCTCTCTCTCTCTCTCTCTCTCTCTCTCTCTCTCTCTCTCTCTCTCACTCTCTCGCACACACACACACACACACACACAATGCAGTGGGTGAGGTCTGGGTGTGACAGCCTCCACCAGGAATGCAGTAGTGTGTGTTTTGATCTCTCCACATAATGCACTCTCTCGACCAGGCTGATCTGTCAGTTTCTGTGTACATTCTGTCTGACAGACACAGAGACAACGGAGACACTCATTAACTTTCATGAACACAGCAGAATGGAAAAAGGAAGAGGCGAGGTGTGGATAGATGATAGATGAAAAGAGGATTTGTATTTTCTTGGACAACTGTAAGTTTTCTGCCAAACTTTAAGGAAATCCACGTCTGAATCAGCACTTGGTAACTTTTCTTTCTCTTCTGAAGTGTCGATTTTGACTGCGGACTCAGTGAACATTTTGAATTCAACTCTAGCTCTACTTAAAGTGGCATGGGCTGATTTTAGGCGTTTTCTTTAGATTACTTCTGAGAATGTATTTTTACATTTTCTATAAACTCTAGAGTAGTCTTCAGGGATAACATATATAATGTTGACATTGGCATTTGAACTACTGTGACAGCAGAGTCAGTGATCTCTGCCACAAATATTGATCTGACATCTGACTGTTGCAACACCCACTGCTGGAACTGAACATGGCATATCACTGCATCACATAGAAGTGAATCACAAAGGTAAGAAACCCAAGATGATCCACACACTTGTATGTAGACATGACATCATAGGTCCATAGACTTTATCAGGCCTGTCCATATTTCCCGGAACAATTGAATAGCCAATAACCTTTAATTTCTAACAATTCTGTTACAGTTTGTTAACACTTTGCAATACTCCCCACAATTTACTGTGTCACTTTATTCCATGAATTATAAAATAGATACCAGTTCCTACTGACACTTTAATGTAAGTATAGGGGAAGAAAAGAAGACAAGGGAGTAAGGAGGAAAGGAGAAATAAACTATACCATAAGTATTTTTGATATTTTAAATGCTGTATATCTACGAGGTACAGCTGAACTGAAGTTTTGGAAAAATTGTGTCATCAACAACACAATATTTTGCTGTCCCTGTAAACGATGTTAGATCATGGCACAGAAATATCAGTAGCCTAACTGTGCGTGAAGCTGAAGTTGCAGACAGATTAATTGCACCTTTTACTCTCAGTACCTTCTCTCAGTTTTGTCATGGATCTATCTCTAAACCATATACTATAAATACTCAATGCTACACTGTATTGTAGCCTATATACTATATAGCATAGTGTTACCTTGATGATCAAAGTAACAAGTAGAAATGTGTGGTCATGGGTTGCTCCTGTTGGGCCATTTCCCCTTTTAAAAATTAACTAAACATTAACTGCCTATAAAGTAATAAAGGGGTAGCATATTTCACAATTACTATATGCTATAACAACTACAAAACTACAACTAGGTGTATTTCGTGTTTTTTTATTCTAGATTGTAGTTATATTGTGACCAGATCAAAGCTGGTCAGTCAGGGTCCTCTCCTAAAACAACTATAGCCTATGTGTAAAGCAGTTGTTGTCTGATGGACACCAGTGGCCTGTACTACAAAGCGAGGTAACTGGCTTATCCAGGTAACTTCAGGAGTAACTTGTGTAAGACGTCGGGTGTAACTTCCAGATTAACCCGTACTACGAAAAGTGGATAGGTGTTAACTGAGGTCTGTTACCATGGCAATTTACGCTGCGTCTCTAAACTGCTCCGAGCAGGTTTTGTTTGTGGTTAACTTGAGGTTACCCTGCATACATGGACTACACACCACATCTGTAGCCTACTATGATGAGAAGTAGGCTATTAATACACACCACTTTATAAAATATTTTAAAATTTCATCCTGCCCTGTTCCACTGCAGTTGCAACTGAAATAAAGTTAGGGGAGACCAGGTTTGGCTGTAACATTGGGAGAGTTGTAAGAACACCAATTCCACCAATTAGAGATAAGATGGGAGTCATGAGATCATTTCAGTGTTTACCTACTTCCTCCCTACTGCACTGTAGTAAAATTAATCAAGTATACTGTTAAGTAGGTTTATTCTATAGATACATTTACATACTGTACATGCGCACAAGTCATCAGACACAGTCTGTTACAGGGAGAGAGAAACATTGTTCTTTTATATCACTACCTGTTTTTGAAACATATCAAATTGTGTGGCATCTATTTTTGCTTGTTTTGTGTTACAACTTACTCCAGCATGTGTAACAATCTACCGTGGTAGTGGGGTAGGTTTTAACAAGGGAACACAATGCATTTGACATCAACTCATAAGGACTGTGATATTCTTGTAGAGGATTGAATTATAGTGAACAAATGTGGGAACTTTGTATAAAAGTTAGAGAATTCTAGCTAAAAGATTGGTGTTACAACGATACCCGGCTGTTTAGGAGCCGCGGGCCGGCAATAACCTCTATGAGCTTTTCTGCAGCCCGAGCGCCACCCGCGCGTTCTTTCCTGATTTGCACAATGAGTTGTGTAAATCATGGAACAGACCAAAAAGAAATAAAAAATAGCTGCTCTGCACGGCTGACTGTGTCCCCTCTGCTGGACTACAGCAGCGTGACAAAAACTAAGCAGCACGGCTAAAGAGAACGGAACGATGCCTTGGGGGGAGGAAGCACTCGCAAGCTATCTTTCTCCCACCCTCCCTTCGTTCCTTCAGATGTTGCCCACCAAGCTGTGTCGAACGAAACATCCTACATGGCAGCGGGTCCAGCTGGTGCAAGCCTGCACACTATGGCCATTTGGAAGGCGTACCAGGCCGATCATCTCAAGACTATGACCTAGGGGGAGGTCCCTCTGAGGAGGACCTGACTGAGCTCCGTAGAGCTACGGACTTAAGCGCCATCTGTGGCTCAACCTCTCGTGCATCTCGATGGACTGGCGACCTGTCCAGTGTGTCCGCCTTGCGCCCGATGTCAGCTTGGATTGGCTCCATACCCTGTATGCAGGATAAGCGGTTGACGATGGATAAAACCAAAGTTTTACATTAATACTCTCTTGTCAAAGTAAAATCTGTCTGGCACAATATGGTATCCAGGTCATCATCACCAGGCTGCTGGGCAGGACAGAAAAAAAAAAAAAATAGAAGGTCACGGGTTCAAACCCGGTTTGCCTGGCCTTTCTGTGTGGAGTTTGCATGTTCTCTCTGTGTCTGTGTGGGTTCTCTCTGGGTGCTCTGGCTTCTTCCCACCGTCCAAAGACATGTGGACTGGTTAATTGGTGACCCTAAATTGTCCGTAGGTGTGGGTGTGACTGGTTGTCTGTCTATGTGGCCCTGACTGGCGACCTGTCCAGGGTGTACCCCGCATTTCGCCCGATGTCAGCTGGGATTGGCTCCAGCGCCCTGCGACCCTGTTCGCAGGATAAGCGGTTGACGATGGACGGATGGATAAAACAGTACGCACACACATTTTACGCAGATTTCCCTTTATAAATCAAAATCAATATGTGAGTGAGCTCCTTGCCCAACCCTTTAGTTGCCTGTAAATGATCAGTGAAACACCCCTCAATAATATTAATACGTACATTCCGTGTGAAAGAGAGGCTAGAGAAAACATACTTTCCCTACAGGGATCGATCAAGCATTGATTAAACCCTGCGAATGCTGAGCATCAGGATGAATTATAACCCTGTCACCAGTCACAACCAGCCATACACAACATGGCGCACACACACACACACACACACACACACACACACACACAGTGTTGATCATTTCAATTGACATGCTGTTATGTAAAACACATTTAGTGACTGAGGGCAAGGACACTGTCAGACACCCACAAAACCTGCTTGGACATCAGTTGTAAGAGTTCCATTACTTTATTATTACATTATTTATTTTTATTTATACACTGAAATGTATGAGAAATTATAGTATAATAATATAAAATATAACAAACACTGAGTCTTTAGGCTGGATAATTAGTACTTTTACATCTGCATTAATCAATATTTTCAAATTAACAATGTTTCAAATTAGCATGTGAAAGAATCACTCATAGTGATGAACCCATGAGCATTATCACCAACTCTGCAGTCTCCCAGCTGTACAGAGCATTGCAGTGAAGCCAGTTTTGGACCAATAAAATACTACTACAGGGCTACTTCCTGATGGCACAAGAGTCTACTGCGTGTGATCACGCAGCATAACCGTGCTTTAATGGCGTAGAAAAATGTCAGAAACACTGTAATTCTGGTAGCTGCGCAAACAAAAGTCTCTTGGCTCAGTGTGTTTGTCTGACTCGGATTGTCACTGTTTAATCAGCCCACCTATAAGGCTCACCTGTCAAATACCAACGCAGCGTCACTGATGGCCGAATAGTTGTTTTAGATCCGCTGAGAGTTTATAATCTAAGCAATACGGTTACATCTCTCATGTGCGATGGGGTGTCACAGGGTAGTACATTTTTGGACCTACATGGATCCCTCCATGCAGGCTTTGGTCGGCTTCACTGTTCGATCTCTGGCTTACCCCCTTGGTAGCTGTGTAGTCTTTCCCATTTTATCATGGCTGACTTAATTTTTCATTTGCTTTATACCATCAACCGATCGTGAAAGTAAAGTGACGGATTTAAGTAAGCATGAAATCTGATTGGCTAGCCTCGATTTCTGTGATTGGTTTAGATGTGTCACGTGACACTTCCTGGTTTAGCTTTCCACGGGTTGCTCTGTCTGTTTCTGTTTCGTGTATGTAAGTGTGTCTGTTCAGAGAAAAACTCACACTCAAGCTCCTCATGACAAAAAATGGCTTCTTCCCAAAAACTGCTGTAAAAATATCATAAATTAATACACTTTTTCCACTTTAAACGGGTCAATCTTTCAAAGCCACTTCAGCCTGAAATTAATCATTTTTTCTGCAGTGGCAGATTAAAGTTCATAATCTTATCTTATAATGATATTTGATCATTTCCAGATCCTCCTGTGTGCTGTCTTGCCATCTCCAATAACTCAATAACTACCCCCGCACTACTGCTCAGACTTACACTATCAGGTATACTTGTTCAATTGTTTATCAACACAATAGCTGATCAGCCAATCACATGGCAGAAACTCAATGCATTTAGGCATGTAGACATGGTCAAGACAACTTGCTGAAGTTCAAATTGAGCATCAGCATAGGGAAGAAAGGGGATTTAAGTGACTTTGAACGTGGCATGGTTGTTGGTGCCAGATGGGCTGTATATCAGTATCAGGTCAGGAGTATTTTAGAAACTGCTGATCTACTGGGATTTTCACACACAGCCACAACCTCGTTACAACCAAAGTATGCAGAATTCCATCTCTGAACGCACAACACGTCAAAACTTGAAGCAGATGGGCTACAGCAGCAAATGTAAACATGCCGTATTCGCATAGCGCCTTTCTAGTCTTTTCGACCACTAAAAGCACTTTTACACTACATCCACACACTGAGCCTAAGTGCTCAAACAGAAACTAACATTCACACACAGGCGGAACAATTCGGGGTTCAGTATCTTGCCCAAGGACCTTCCGATTAACAGGCAACCCGCTCTATCTCCTGAGCCACAGCAGCAGAAGCCCATGCTGTCAGCCAAGAACACGAAACTGGGGATTCAATTCACACAGGCTCACCAAATTTGGACAATAGAAGATTGGAAAAACATTGCCTGGTCTGATGAGTCTCAATTTCAGCTGTGACATTCAGATGGTAGGGTCAGAATTTGGTGTAAACAACATGAAAGCATGGATCCATTCTGCCCTGTATCAACGGTTGAGGCTGGTGGTGTACCCATCTTCTGATGGCTACTTCCAGCAGGATAATGCACCATGTCATAAAGCTCAAATCATCTCAAACTGGTTTCTTGAACATGAAAATGAGTTCACTGTACTCCAATGGATGCCATGAAGAATTAAGGCCCTGTCTATATGAACATGGGTATTTTCAAAGCGTGACTTTTTCTATGCGGTTTGGCTGTTCGTACACACAGAAACGCAGTATCAGGTCACTGAAACCGAACATTTTTGAAAACTCCTGCCCGGGTGAAGATTTTAAGAAACGCCGGTTGCAGTGTTGTCGTGTAGACAGTAAAAAAGTTTTTGCCTTTCGACGTCAGAGAGCGTGCCGTTATCTGCTGGGTTTGATGTCAAATTGTGCTCCACTGCCTGCTTTGTTTACGATTTTATTGTCATCAGATTGGCCAACGTGGCTTTACAGTTAGGGTTATGTTGCCACCTGGTGGTTTGGCGTGCTCTTGGCAGAGCTTGATAACGATGATGTTTTTTAAAACAAAGGAGGAAAAACTATGGTTATAAAAATATCCGTGTACGTGTGGCATATGCCTAAGGCAGTTCTGAAGGCAAAAGGGGGTCTGACCTGGTACTAGCAAGGTGTACCTAATAAAGTGGCCGATGAGTGTATAACCATGGCTGAAGTGTACCTGCATAAACAACCTGAATGAGAACAACATGTCCCAGTTTCGTTTTGGTTCTCGCTACTCGTCGTTTTTATTCTTGAATTAGTTCATAATGCAGTGTGGCCTTCTAAGAGAAAAGACTTTGAAGTTGAAGTTTTTTCACACACACACCATTATCCAACCTCAATATGCATGTCATTTCAGGGGCAAGGCACCCTTGCAGAAAACAGTGTGAAATTTTGCTGCATGCTTTAAAAGGCGAAAGAAAGTAGCACAAACTGGTGAACAAATGTAAAAATTAAAAATTGAAAGCTAGTAGTCCAAAATGAAATGTTAGCATAAAGGAATGCATCAGTTAAGGTTAAGATAAATGTGGGATCCAAAAAGGCATTTTCAATGGTTTTCAATGGGACATTTTTTGTCCTAAGGAAATTGAAATTTTCTTGAAAAAGAATATCCTCTGGCAAATTTGAGCTACATATATTCAACACAGCCAAAAGGGCTTGAAAATGGCACCAAATGTCCCCAGGGACTCTTAAGGGTTATTTAGAAATCCACTAGGAAAGTGAGGTGATACCTATTAGTTTTACCTATTCACCTGCAGTATCTTGCCTTAATAACTCCAGTCTTGAATCTGGTTTAGGATCACTTGTCACTGGGTTTGACTGTCCTTAATCAGTACAGCTTCTTTCTGCTGAGGGTGTGTCTCTGCCTGCTTGTCTGTCAAGCCAGCATGCTTCACATAACCTTCCTGAATCACCTGTCAGCCCAGTCTGGCCTAAAGACTAACCTGTTCTCTACTGCTGCCATTGGAGCCAACATTTACTTACTGACGGGGAGCCAATCGTTAATCAGCATTCCCAGTATAAACCAAAAATGGCAGCACTGTCAATTCTAGCTTCAGGCTTCACAGTGTCTACTAAAGTGACCAGCTCATTTATTTAAGAAAACTTCAACATCTGACGTAAACGTCTGTATAAACCTTGTGATTTGTAGGATTAAATTGGCAACCTAATAATGTCAGCATGGCAAATTAGCCATATATACTGTACATACATGGGCTTTACATCTGAAGGATAAAGGACACTTGTTTGGGACCACCAGGTGGACATTTTAGACAGAGAGGATAGATGGTTGGAAAGAGGTGTCAAGGAAGCCATTTACACCTGGGTTGAGAAGCCGTCGCTGAATAGACAAGGGGGTCTACGCCACCACTTATCACTAATCACTTACACAGGAGTACTGATAATATCGGGTCTGATCAACAAAGCAATATATCATCAGCATACAAATTTACAAGGCTCTTAACATTACCTAACTGTACACCACTGACTCAATGGCATACAGTTTGGGGATCGCAATGTCAAACAGCAGGGGAGTAAGTGGATTGCCTTGTCTGACACCGCCCTGCAGGTCAATAGGTTTTGATCTGTCTGTGTTAGTCAGTATAGAACATACTGGATTTGAATACATTTTAACCCACTCGATAAAATTCACTCCAAACCCAAATTGTTTTAATGTCTCTAGCATATAAGACCATTCAGTCTGATTGAATGCCTTCTGGGCATCCAGAGATAAGATGGCAGATTGCATGTCCTTATCATGGACCGATTATAATGTATTCAAATGCAGACGAACATTGCTAAATGAGAATCTACCCGGTACAAATCCAGTTTGGTCAGGATGTACAATTGTTGAGATATATTTAACCAATTTCGTGGCCAGACCTTTAGTTATCACCTTCTGATTACAGTTCAGAAGGGCGATCGGTCTGTAATTTGCAGGGTTGGTCTCTATTTTTCCTTTTTTTTGGGAGTAGACAAATATTCTTATTAGAGTGAGCTGGGGAGCCTCTTATTTTTCACTGAATCATTCACCATCCTTAACATGAGAAGGACTATTCTTTTATGAAACATCTCGTAAAATTCGCAGCCAAAGCCATCAGGGCCTGCTGTTTTACCAGAGGGGAATCCTCGAATAGGTTCCAAAAGGTTCCAAAAGGTCAATATTAGAGACTGGGGTGCCAATGTCATCTTTAGACATGGTGTCTAGTTGTGGAATATTTAGGTTACTAAAAAATTTTGGATTGCTCGACTAGCTTGCTCTCAAGGTTGACTTGCCAATAACTTTTCTGGTTCATTTAAAAGATCAGATCAGAGTCATATATGAGCAAACAAATCGGATTTGGGTCACTTTGGCCTGCAGTCCGAACGTAGCCTTAGAGTCAGCAGTCTTCAGGTCAGGTGTGTGACTGTTAACCACCAGCTGGTGATGAAGCCACAACTGGAGAGCAGGTTAACGCCCACAGGCTCTGTTGGAGGAGAGAGACAGATAGAGGGAGGGAGAGAAAGAGAGAGAGAGAGCAAACACAGACAGATAGGACCTTTCCGAAACTGCTTGCTCCTCCTAATGGTAGTGGGTTGGTAAACCCTCCAATGCCAAGTCAGCACCGATGCCGGCTTGTTGAAGGTGTGTAACACCCTTTGCTGCACGATGGGGGAACTTTCTTTCAAATGTGAGTTCCGTGAGACTTTGTCGGTTAACATGTAGGATTTTTATATTCCAAAACTACAATAACATTTCATATCATCATTCACAGGTTAACAACACTGTGTTTAATAAAAAAAATGATCTTGTCTGATAGACTGTTGTTTTTATTGAATCATATTATACGAAAATCTTTAGCCAAAACAAAATAGCCTACATTAAACATCAGAATAATAGAACATGACACAACTACATACACAGGGGGATCACGTAACATGCAACAAAGGCTTTAAAGAAAAATAGTTAGCCTAAGTCTTCATACATTTAATTCTTCAGACAATATAATGCTTCAATATAATGTATGATTTATATTGATTAAATGTTATATTGGTAATATACATATATATATATATATATATATATATATATATATATATATATATATATATATGGGCAGGTGTCACGACAGGGGGGCCATTAAAGAAAGTTTTTTTCCTTTAAATTAACTTATCATTTAATTGCATACTTTTCATTTCCTTCATTTCATTTCGGTGCTGTCTCACCGTTGTCCTCAATCTGGTTTAATGTTTTACATAATTGAGCAGCTTATCAATAGTTCATTCAAAAATCAAGCACATTTAGTTTTTGCTTGATTGGCTCAGTATGCATCAAGATCAGTACCAGAGGATGGAGTACATTTTGATTGATACTTTCTGTCCTCCTCTTTAGTCAATACTTCTGGTGAGGTCCCTGCTGTAACCATGGCATCCCAGGTGAAGCAGCCCCAGGGGCGTGGCCTATCGTCTCTATTTTCTTGCTGTTTCAAAGGAAGTGACCAACCAGAGATCACCTACTGCCATGACAACATCAACACTGTGGCTGTACTGGAGCCCACTCTGCCTATGCCCCCCCTTCAAGAGCTGGACTCCATGTTCACTGAGCTGGTGGTGAGTACAAGACCAGAGTAAGTGTTCCTCTTCTGAACACCGGGTATTTCTACAGTATGTGCCTTCAGACAACCATGCCTTAATCTCTTCCCTTTCTATCTTTTCTTTCCTCTGTCCCAGGATGAACTGGACCTCACAGAGGAGCACAGAGCAGACATGTTTGCTTTGCCAGCAGAGAAAAAATGGCAGATCTACTGTAGTAAGAAAATGGTAATAATATATATATATATACAACAGCCAACATATCTGTGTTGGCAGTGTATTGAGCTCCTGGGAAGTTGCTTGTTGCCATCACTTACGAGTTTCATATGCCTCAAATGAACTATTACTACTGGGGTGGCTGGGGCTCAGGAGGTAGAGCTGGTTGTCCTCTGATCACAGGGTTGGCTGCTCAAAACCACCTTCTCCCGACCCCCATGTTGAAGTGTCCTTAGGCAAGACACTGGACCCCAAACTGCCCTCGATGGTTGGCCAGCACCCTGCATGGACCCTGCTATCAAGTGAATGGGTGAATGAGCCACTAAAACACTTTGGATGAAAGCGTTATGTAAATGTGGCCATTTACTGATTCAAGCAAAAAATAGATGTTTCAGCCAATAAAATCCGTGTTTACTGTTAGCTAGTCCCCCTTCTGCTCTACTAAAGCTTCCTGCCTTTCCTCCAAATTGATTTTTCTGTCTCCAGTAAGTGACAAAATGACAAGAATCAGAAAACCAAAATAAAAAAGTATTTTCAAAAACCTGCGGGTGATGTCTCAAATCAAAATTTGTCTTGTACTACAATTCATGGCTATATCTGCCTACAAGTAGTTGTTTGGCATGGCAGCTGGAATCATGCACCCATTCTGAGTACTTTTTACAAACTTCTTACATATAAGTGCCATACCTAGCCATACATCATGTATAATACTTTTTCAGTAGTTGCATGCATTTTCTTTGTTTATAATTAAAAAAGGCTAATATCTACATATGACACATGGATTTGTTTAGCATGACCCTGACCTTTGTGTCCGAATATATGTGCATTCCAGGAGGCAGAGGAGAAAAAAGGAGCAACCAGCTGGCCAGAGTATTATATTGACCAGCTCAGGTCCATGGCTGCTGTGAGTTCCCAGTTCATTCCATACGCAGACAGACAGATTTTGCTTTATTTCCAATTTTCTTTGTAAAAAATATTGATAATTTCTGAAACTGTTACCCCCTTGTAGTAGTATCCAAAAGGACAGTGTTCAAATGACAATGCATACCAAATCTTGCATATCAAAAATTGTGGGGCATTGTTTTCTTCCTCCCAGAGGAAGACTCTCCTGGCACTGGAGGATGAGGAAGAGCAGGGAGGACATACAGTCGTAGATGGTCTAAAGACAGCACTGAGGACACAGTCAATGAGGTAAAATTCCAGTTCTAACACACTCGTTATTCTGAAAATGTAGATTTCCCAAAGCTTACCTTTCATTATGCTCTGCACTGCGGTGAAGCTGCCATTCTTATCGATCTCCCCCAGGTTTGTGACGCGATTTATTGACTTGGATGGCCTGTCTTGTATCCTGAATTTCCTCAAGTCAATGGACTATGAGACCGCAGAGTCTCAGATCCACACCTCCTTGATTGGCTGCATCAAAGCTCTGATGAACAACTCTCAGGGCAGAGCTCATGTCCTAGGTCACTGTGAGAGCATTAATATCATTGCACAGAGTCTCGCCACTGAAAACATCAAAACCAAAGTAGGTGGAACACAAACAGCACATGGGATACTTTGGAACTTTCTTGGAAGCAGATTTGTTAGTGGGGGAGTTGGTGAGTGCAGGTACTTTGTGGTTGTTTCTTATGTGCTGGTTTGAATTTAGGTTCTATTATACATAGATAGATCACCGAAAAGGCTGGGTCGTTGGCATACTTCTAGTGATCTTCTAGTTTTTTTGACAATAATCTGATTTTTACAAAGATCTAAGGAGATTATATTAGAGAGGCTGATCAGAATGATGTACTCAAGTCTCAAGTCAAACAGTTACTGAAAAGTTTGGATTTCATGATTTTTGAGTGTTTCTGATCACAGATTTTTATAAATAATTTCGGTCAGACCTTTACCATGTCCCAGTAAATAATGATGAAATTATGTCTCCTTCTCATTTGTAATGACCATTTTTCTTTGTCTCCTCAGGTTGCAGTGTTAGAGATCCTCGGTGCAGTATGTTTGGTGCCAGGAGGCCATAAGAAAGTACTAGAAGCCATGCTGCACTACCAGAAATTTGCCTCGGAGAGAACACGCTTTCAGGTCTGCTTTTGTTATCTTGTGTGTGCTTTGTTCAGTTTTCTGCAAAGGATTATGCAAGTCTGGATAAAGCAGTTTCTTGAAAAGGTGGTGGTATTGCCATCACTTTTAATGCATTTTAGGTGTTCAGTAATCACTAATAATATAGAAACCACTAGACAAACACGGCAAACAAGACAGGACACATAATACCAATGCTCACAATGACATAGATTGGAGTATAAGTGCAGAAAAATTATGATTTAAATTTACATTTATTTCGTATAAATATAATTTTTATCATCCAAATCATTAGGAATTATCCTCCAGTGACCATCAGTTTGTGGCAGAAAGTGATTGGTATCATCATATTTGAGTCCTCAGCCAGTAGGGAAAGCATTTGTTTTAACATCCAAACTAACTGACCACCAATTTTCTCTGTTAAGATCAAATGTGTACCCATATTACATTACAGTTTACAGTGATTTCTAATTTGGAGGCCAAACTGATATTGTCAACAAGAAGAGCAAAAGCTATTTATCCATGCAAACAGGTTTTTTAATGGTAATGTATAACTTGAATATTTTCTTTCCTGGGCACAGAAACTGCTGACAGATTTGGATAGATCCACAGGTCGTTACAGAGATGAAGTTAATCTGAAGACTGCCATTATGTCCTTCATCAACGCTGTGCTCAGCCAGGGAGCAGGAGAGGTGAAGAATCATTTATCTGTGTCTCTCTTAAAGTAAAATCCTCTGCTTTGAATATCCGTTTCTGATGTCAAATGTCTTGTGATGTTTTGTCATGCAGCATGATACAATATGATACATTGTTAGTACCCTCTTTTCTTCAACATGTACCATCTTAAAGATATTACTCTTTATTTCTTATTATCAACAATAGTCCATCTCTCTTTGCTTTCTGACTTCCCTACTCTGCCTGTTGCTCTCAGCCCCAAGCACATTGGTTGCGACTCAAGACGTAAATCTTTAAAAACAACTCACAAACAACGCACTGCAACGGCGTGGCTCATTGATGTGTAATAAGAGTTTTTTCAGAGCTCTGTGGCAGAGAGGAATGAGATCCATCAAGCTTTTGCAGAAAGATGGTTTGGATTTGTTAACGCTAAAAATGAATGCTTCCAGTGTAAAATGGGTTAGACACATATACTGTCTGTAGTACATTCTGTCAAGTGTTTTACATATTGATCAAATCTTAGGTAAAGGTACATGTCTCTATACCCTTTATTTTATTTACAGCTGCATTCAGTTGTCCCTTGTTGGAGGGTTTTCCTGCAGCCTCTTCCATGTGAGGGCTTTCTTGAAGTCTATTGAGCTGGTAGAGTAATAGATCTAGAAAGACATTACTCATGCCACTACCTGATGTTTTCTGCTGTTTGTAAGGAAAGCTGAAAAAATTACTGTGATCAGGCACAAGTGTAGCTGCACTACTGTACCACTAGTGACATATGGCCTATCTCCACCTACTGTCTACCAAAAAGATACCTATGATGATTACATTATATTATTCCATGATATGTTGATTACATTATTTTCCTGTTGTGTGTGTGCATGTGAGTGTGTTTTCAGACAAGTCTGGAGTTCCGTATCCATTTGCGCTATGAGTTTCTGATGTTGGGCATTCAGCCAGTCATTGACAAATTACATTCCCATGACAACGACAACCTAGACAGGTACATCAGGTGCACAAAAAGGTGCTAGCATCAATACTGTGTCATGGAACTTATGATAAGTAAGAGGTCAGGGGAACATATTCATTTGTTATGTGTATTGTTGATTTCAGACATCTGGACTTCTTTGAGATGTTGAGGAATGAAGATGAGCTTCTGATGTCCAAACGCTTTGATGTTGTAAGTCATTTAGACAAAACATATATATACTCTACAAGTGCTTCAGTATTGTTTTCTATATATTACATCCTTTAGATCCAGTGACCAGCCAAAACACAAGCTCTCACGGATAAACACACTGAACCTCATTAGTTCTGATACACACCACAGGAAATTTTATAGATTCTTGTAAATCAAAATAACATGCAGTATATTATTATTGCAAGTTGTAGTTAACAAATATATACCACAAAAGAGTAGTGTTTTCCAGTGTTCCTTTATAATAAAAGACTCTTGAAGCAGCTCATCAACATTACATTTCTCTTTTATTGTCAAATAGAATATGAAAATGCTAATCAGATGTGTAATGTGTTACACACCTGATGATGTCTTTTGGTACGTTGTCTCAGGTCCATATAGAAACTAAAAGTGCCAGCCAGATGTTTGAGCTAATCAAGAGGAAACTGAACCACACTGAAGCTTACCCTCATCTCCTGTCTATACTGCAGCACTGTCTCATGATGCCATGTAAGACTATCAGTTTACTTATTTCCTTTTTATTTATTGCCATAAAATGATCCATGACGGTAGCAGCTTTTTCCTCTGCTGACTCCTGTCTGTCCGTCTGCAGATAAGCAGAACAGTTCCACACTTCAGTACTGGGTGTTGCTGGACAGAATAGTTCAGCAGCTGGTTCTGCAGACAGACAAAGGTGACAACCCTGATGTCGCTCCACTGGAGGACTTCAACGTTAAAACTATTGTACGCATGTAAGTTTCCAGCTTTCCTAACTTGGTGTATGAGCATCAGTGCTGCTAACTACAGTTTTTAATTCAAACAAAAAAATACAACTATATTTCAGTTACATTTCCAACAGTTGTTTATGGTTGCTCAGCAGTCTGAATGGTAATCCTTTTAGTTCTATTAGTAATACTACACAGTCATAATGAATCAGAGAAATATTGTGTAATATTGTAGCAACCCAACATTGATTTGAACAGTTAACCATAAACCTAGCACCATTTACCTCTTGCTGCTGACATAGTAGAGTAAAATAACTACATGAAAGAAGTACATGTAAGATATTTTTAAGTGAAGCATAAAGACATGTTTCAGATACTGTACTGTAACACAAAAGGTTCTATTGTTCTTAAGATGTAGCTTGTGGACGAATGCAGGGTCCAACACTCAAAAATCATGTTTTTCAGTAGTTTTTCGCGTGTGTTTGCGTCTATAGGCTCGTCAAGGAGAACGAGGTCATCCAATGGAAAGAACAAGCAGATAAAATCAGAAAAGGTAAGTTGTCACTGTCTGAGTGCGTGGATGAGCAGGTTGGTGGACCCAAATGCAGGACACGAAGGCTGACTGGTTCAGTTCAGGGATTTATTAAACAAACAAAAGGCGAGCTCACTTACTATAGAGTGGCTGAGTGCATAATCTAAAATAATAAGTTGATCCAACAGAAAATCCAAAACGGGTATAATTCAAAATCCACAGAACCAACAGAGTACAGGCAGGAAACAGGCTGTTAGGCGACGGGACAGAAAGGACCCAAACGCAACACTCAGAGGGAAGGAGGTTTTCTTGAGGATTCACGGAGGGGGCTAGGGAAGAGGTGAGGGAGGAGAGGTGGACGCCAGGGGACGCGGGCACGGAGGACCGAGGAGCAGGCGAGGCACGGGTGGTGAGGCGAGGAGCAGGGAGGAGCCGGGAGGGCGCTGTGGAGGAAGCCCGAGAGGTGAGGACCCGAGGATGAGCCCGGACTACGAGGGTGAGTGAACCTGGGAGGGAAAACAGACAGAAAGACAGGGTTAGTGACTGGAGCGACAAAATGCAGGGAAAATGAGGAAAAAAACAAAGAACATGAGAGCCTGGACGTAGCGGTGGCACCGAGTAAGGAGCAACGACAATCAAGCGAGGATGGTGTGGAGAACCGGGGTTGAAATACAGGCTGGGATGAGGTTGATTACTGGCAGGTGTGGCAGGCTGACGAGGTGGCTGATGAGGTGCAGGTGTAGGTAGTTGGCTGGGCTCAGGGGCCGAGGGAGAGAGGAGGAGAACACAGGGAGGCAGGCAGAGCAAAACAATGGGTGAAATAAAGTGAGAAAAAAAAGTAAAACCAGGACACTCACCGTCAGCTGGGCTGTCCCCACAACAGGGCCCCCCCCTCAATGGACGCCCCCAGGCGGCCGACCCGGCTTGTCAGGATGAGCCCTGTAGAAGTCAGTCAGGAGGGACTTGTCCAAGATCTGGCTGGAGGGAACCCAGGAGCGCTCCTCTGGGCCGTAACCGGCCCAGTCCACCAGGTAGCGGTATCCCCGACCTCTACGCTGCACGTCCAGGAGCCGGCGCACCGTGTAGGCGGGGTGACCATCAATCATCCGTGGAGGGGGAGGCGCTGCCACTGGTACAGAGAGGGAGCTGGTGGCAAAAGGCTTGATTCTAGAGACGTGGAAAACGGGGTGGACTTTCAGGTGGGACGGGAGGGTTAGGCGTACTGCAGAGGGGTTAACGATGGCCTCAATGGGATAGGGGACGATGAATCGGGGGCCGAGCTTCTTGGAAGGGACCTGCAGGGGAAGGTCCCTGGAGGAGAGCCAGACTCGCTGCCCAGGCCAGTAGGTAGGTGCAGGGGCCCGGTGGCGGTCTGCCAGTTGGCGGTTGCGGGCCGCAGTGCGGAGAAGGGTGGCCCTGGCCTTACCTCCAGATCCGGCGGCAACGCCTGAGGTGGGCCTGCACAGAGGGGATGGCCACCTCCTCCTCCAGGGACAGGAACAGGGGGGGCTGGTAACCCAAGGCGCACATGAAGGGGGACATACCAGTGGCAGCGCTGACCTGGGAGTTGTGAGCGTACTCGATCCAGGGGATGTAGGAACTCCAGGAGGTGGGGCTGCGGTACGCCACACATCTGAGTGCCGCCCCCAGGTCCTGGTTGGCCCGCTCGGTCTGTCCGTTGGTTTGGGGGTGATAGCCCGAAGAGAGACTGGCAGTGGAACCAAAGGCATGGCAGAAGGATTTCCAGACCTGGGATGTGAACTGGGGGCCCCGGTCCGAGACGATGTCCAGAGGGATTCCATGGAGGCAGAAGACGTGGTCGACAAGCAGGCGGGCAGTTTCCAGAGAGGAGGGGAGTTTGGGTAGGGGAATGAAGTGGGCAGACTTAGAAAAACGGTCAACGACAGTGAGAATGGTGGTGTTTCCGTTTGAGCTGGGGAGACCAGTGACAAAGTCCAGGGCGATATGAGACCAGGGACGACCGGGGACCGGGAGAGGGCGAAGCAGACCGGCGGGCGGTTGATGGGAGGGTTTGGCACGGGCACACACCTCACAAGCCGCCACAAAGGCTCAACAGTCCCTCTCTATCGAGGGCCACCAGAACCATTGGCGGAGCAGAAAGAGGGTGCGGGCCATCCCAGGGTGGCAGCTGAACTTGGAGGCGTGCGCCCGCTGGAGGACCTGGGAGCGCACACAGGACGGGACGTAGAGGCGGTTTTGGGGGCCGGTGCCAGGCCCGGGATAAGTGGACTGGGCTCGGCGTACGGTGGACTCCACTTCCCAGACCACGGAGGCGACGAGACAGGAGCACGGTAGAATGGTGTCGGGGGGGTTTAAGGCGGTGTCGGTGGAGTGGAGCCGGGAGAGAGCATCGGGTTTGGTGTTGCGGGATCCGGGCCGGTAGGAGAGGGTGAAATTGAACCGGGTGAAGAACAGGGCCCATTGAGCTCGGCGGGAGTTTAGTCTTTTGGCGGTTTGAATGTAGGCGAGGTTCTTGTGATCCGTCCATACCAGGAATGGGTGTTCTGCTCCCTCCAGCCAGTGCCTCCACTCCTCCAACGCCAGTTTGATGGCCAGGAGCTCCCGGTCCCCCACGCTGTAGTTCCTCTCAGTGGCAGTGAGGCGGCGTGAGAAGAAGGCGCAGGGGTGGAGCTTGTTGTCCACCGGGGAGCGCTGGGAGAGGGTAGCACCGACGCCCACATCTGAGGCGTCCACCTCGACAACGAACTGGAGGGAGGGGTCGGGGTTGATGAGGACAGGGGCGGAGGTGAACAGTGTTTTGAGTCGGGTGAAGGCTGTTGCGGCCTCTGGAGACCAGGTAAAGGGGACTGAGGAGGAAGTGAGGTGAGTGAGGGGGGCGGCGACGGTGCTGTAATTCCGGATGAAGCGGCGATAAAAGTTAGCAAACCCTAGGAAACATTACAGCTGTTTAACGGAGGTGGGGGTTGGCCAATCGGCGACTGCCTGGATTTTGGACGGGTCTGCATGGAGCCGCCCTTTTTCAATTATGAACCCGAGGAACTGGATAGTGGGGACATGAAACTCACACTTTTCGGCCTTGACGAAGAGCCTGTTCTCCAGAAGCCGCTGCAGCACGAGGCGAACGTGTTCTGTGTGCTGGGTCGCGTCGCGGGAGAAGATCAGGATATCATCGAGGTAGACAAAAATGAAACGGTGGAGGAAATCACGTAGGACGTCGTTGATCAGGGCTTGGAAAACGGCGGGGGCGTTGATGAGTCCGAAGAGCATAACGAGGTATTCGTAATGGCTGAGGGGGGTGTTAAAGGCGATTTTCCACTCGTCCCCCTCCCGGATCCGCACCAGATGGTAGGCGTTCCTTAGATCTAATTTAGTGAAAATGGTGGACCGGGAGAGGGAGTCGAAGGCAGAGTCCATGAGGGGCAGCGGATACTTGTTTTTGACGGTGATGGCGTTGAGCCCCCGGTAATCGATGCAAGGGCGGAGACTGTTATCTTTTTTCGCGACAAAGAAAAAACCGGCGCCCAACGGGGACGAGGAGGGGCGAATGATGCCGGCATTAAGGGAGTCTTTAATATACTGCTCCATAGACTCCCTCTCCGGGCGCGACAGGTTGTACAGGTGACTGGAGGGGAGAGGTTGGTGTGAGGCCAGAGCGGGAGGTGGCAGACCTGCGAGCGAGGCGGTCCCTGGCCCTTTCCCGCAAACGGTTATCCAGATGACCGTGATCACCTTGACCAGAGAATCAAGGTCCTCCGGCACGCCCCTAGTGGCCAGTAGATCCTTAATACGATCGCTGAGGCCATCCAGGAAGACGCACCGGAGGGCCTCGCTGTTCCAGCCCGACTTGGGCGCCAGAATGCGGAAATCGACAGAATACTCCGCCACACTGCGATCGTTCTGGCGGAGGGAGAGAAGCCGCCTAGGTGCCTCCCTCCCCCGCACAGGGCGATCGAAAACTCTCCGCATCTCCTCCACGAAGGAGGAGTAGGAGGAGAGGACGTGAGGCTGGCCCTCGCTGACTGCCGTACCAGGAGAGAGCCCGGTCGCGAAGCAGCCCAGCGATGTAACAAACCTTGGCCTCGTCGGACTGGAAACTTGCTGGCTGGCTCTTAAACACAAGACAAGTAATTGAGAAACACAGGCAACTCCACAAGAAAGAACAGACTAAGATAAAGACTAACACAGAATGATTATAAACAAATGAACAACAAATGAGGTAGAGATCACAATTAACATTTAGCATGAAAGAAACATCAAATAATAACAGAATGAGACAGGAACTAAGGCAGGCACAGATCAACACCAAACTAAACAGGAAATAGACTGCACTAAAGGCACAAAGTAGACTACAAACTAATGATAGAGTAAAAGACTAATAATAGAGATAGACCACCACATAAGACAACAAACAGGACTGAAAACCAAAGCAAAGACACAGATACAAAACAGAATAAAAAGAACAAAACTGACTGAGAACTAACTAAGCAGAACAGATGATAGGACTAAAATCCCCTGGAGGCTAGTCCATTGGTGTTAGAATGTTATGAGTGAATATTAGTCTGTTTGAGCTTCTTAGGCTCAGTGAATGAATGTGAGTGAACGGTGAATGCGATGTAGTGTAAAAGTGCTTTGAGTGGTCGCAAAGACTTGAAATGCGCTATACAAGTACGGAGCATTTACATTGCCATTCACCCACAAGATAGCTAGAGCCCCCCTCCCAAGTGATTTACTTATTTATTTATTTTTCTTCTGATACATTCTCAGTATGTATTTATATTTAACAATGTCCAATTTTTGTACCTTTCTGTCTCCGTTGTTTGTTTTTTTTTTTTGTCTTGTGTGCGGCTAAGCAAGCAGTGAGGGGCTGGGGGTGGGTTTAATAGTAATGGGATGGAATGGGGATTGGAAGGATATAGGAGGTTCATATCGATGTTCTTGACTTGATTGTTGTACAACTGTATACACTCTTCTTGCTCACTAAAAGAGTAAAATCAATAAAAAGATTTGAAAAGAGGTCCAATGCAACTAAGAACCGAAGTCCTGGTAAATAAGTAAAAATGCTGAAAGTGCTTGTTTGTTGTCTTCAGCACTGTTCCATCACTCATCATCTGTCCTAACAGCACTGCCATCACTAAATATACTTTGAATATCTCAGCTCCAGTTAGTAGAATGAACACCATCCTGTAAGTCACTCGTTTGTAGCTGTCTCACTTTCTCTTCTCTCCAGAGCATCAGAACTTGCAGCAGCGTTTGGAAAAGAAAGAGAGGGAGTGCGAGGCCAAGAATAAGGAGAAAGAAGACATGATGGCAATGCTGAGCAAGATGAAAGACAAACTTGAGAGAGAGAGCAATGACCACAAGCAAGCTAACTTACGAGTGGCAGAGTTGTCTGCTCGGCTGCAGCAGCTCACTTCAGTATGTTTACTAACACCATATACATTCAGTGATCAGTTTCACACACAGCATCAATATAAACATACTTTTTTTCTTTATTTGTGTAATATTGTGCTAATAAAATGTGTCTTCTACAACCTGGAAAGAGTTTTTCGTTTTCTCACAGCTACAAGATTCCAGCATCACAATGCTTATGTCTTGGCCGTCTGTCTGTTAATAATGAATCCATTTTTGTTTGATAACGTTATCGTCTCCTCTCCTGTTAGGCCTCTAGTGTCCCCGGAGGACCTCCAATAATTTCTGGTGGTTTAGTTTCTGCTGGTCCTGTCCCATTCATCCCTCCACCTCCTCCCCCTCCTCCTCCACCACCTCCTCCACCACCTCCTCCTCCAGGAGGCCCACCAGCTTTTGGCATGGCTCCATTTGCCCCACCTCCTCCTCCAGGAGCTCCACTAGGAACAACCCAGAAGAAGAATATTCCTCAACCATCCAACCCACTGAAGTCATTAAACTGGAGCAAACTGCCAGAGGTACACTTTCTACTGCTGTTATTGTACTATTACACATACTGCATTTACTACTGCAGTGCTGCTACTACTATTACAATTGTTACTATTACTTCTCCCCAGTCATATAAAACGACTAAGACTTCTAGTTTTACAGCAGTGTCATCCAGCACTATGCTGGCTGTAGACCAGCGGCTGTCTGTGCAAAGCTGTCGGTAATAAGACAATGGTAAGGTAATGGTAATATACTGATATCATGAACCTCATCAGAGTTACCTGAGGGCTTCTGGTGTAGGTAACAACACTCATGAAGTCATTTTAAAAGTAAGAACATTTGTCTCGTACATTGTCAAATCAGTGTTTACAGAGAAAACACTATGATGTTAGACAATACAACAGGTGTCTGAATATCTGAACCAAGATGTCATGTAACTGTGAGCTCCAAAAATGTAATTTAAATCAGCAACATTACCTGGCCATCAGCTGGAATTCTTCTCTGGACACTCCACCTACATTAACATGTCATTATCATCATCAGCAGGCCTTTTTACCCACTCTGTGAAGGGTTATGTATGCAGTAAGCATTTTCAATATAATCCTGAAAATCTATATAATGACAAAGAATACAAGTCATGTTCAGTCCTTACAGAATCACAGTCAGTCCATACTGAGAGATAAAAATATTGTTTTAAAGAAAACTTAAAGGTACAAGGTACATTTAATTGTCATAATTATAACAGGGTTGTAAATTGAAATGCCATTTGTAGTTCCCAGACAATATGTACATATATATATACGGATGTACGGCCTAAAGTGGAATGTGTTCACCACCTGGTGCAGAGAACGGGCGGTGGACCCAGTTACCTGCTCGGTAATTGTGATACTGGAGTTCCTCCAGCACCGTTTCTCTGCTGGCCTCTCCTTGCTCAAAGTGTATGTGGCCGCCATTGCAGCATTCCACGCCCCTCTGAGTCATGGGCCCTTGGGGAGGCTTCCACTGGTCGTGCGCTTCCTCCGTGGAGCCCGGAGGATGAGACCCGTGACTCGTTCCAGGGTTCCCACCTGGGACCTGGCGGTGGTTCTCGAAGCGCTAGATGAGGCCCCCTTCAAACCCCTGGAGTCGGCTGAGGCCAAGCACCTGACCCTTAAGATGACCTTTCTCCTCGCTATCACCTCTCTGAGGAGGGTGGGGGATCTCCAGGCACTTTTGGTTTCTCCTCGATGCCTGGAGTTTGCCCCGGGGAGGGTCAGGGGCATCCTGCACCCTTGTCCAGGTTATGTCCCTAAGGTTCCGACCAGACTGGCAGGGTCCACGGTGCTGCAGGTGTTTCATCCCCCACCTCATGTGACGGTGGAGGACGGGAGACTTCATCTGCTCTGCCCTGTCAGAGCACTGAGTATTTACACTCTGAGGTCCTCCCGGTGGAGGAAAGCAGACCAGTTGCTGGTGTGTTTTCGGGTCCCCCAAGGCTGGGCTCCCCGCTTCTAAACACACCATCAGCAACTGGATTGTTCAGACTATTTCCCTGGCCTATCAGGTGCGCGGTTTGCCTTCACCTATGGCCGTAAGGGCGCACTCTACTCGAGGCATGGCGGCTTCTAGGGCCTTCCTCGCAGGGGCGTCACTCCAGGATTTGTGTGAGGCAGCTGGCTGGGCCACCCCTCACACTTTTATCCGGTTTTACAGTCTGGACCTTCCTTCTGCACCCGGCACCCGTGCGCTCTCCTCCTAGTCGTGCCGTCAGGTTCTGCACGCTGGGGGGCAGGCGGGGTTTCGGCGCGGCCTAAGTGGGTATCTCGTTCCCATTTTGAGTTCCCTCAAAGGGGAACGTCTCGGATTACGTATGTAACCCTTGTTCCCCGAGAAGGGGAACGAGACACTGCGTCGGTCCACCACACCTCACCCCGCCTGGAGTGCCTTGCTTCTATAGAAAGGGCTAATGTGTCCTATGTGCCGGCGTGCTTATATACCCCCTCGGGTTACGCCGTCACTCACTACCGTTCTAGTAACACCAATAGGATTTGAGTAGTTTCATTCATAGTTCAGCCCTGCCACGCCCAGAGGTGTTTCCATAGTGTTGTCACCGACGCAGTGTCTCGTTCCCCTTTTCGGGGAACAAGGGTTACATACGTAACCTGAGACGTTTCTGTGTGGGGTTTGCGTGTTCTCCCCGTGTCTGCATGGGTTCTCTCCGGGTGCTCCGGCTTCCTCCCATCGTCCAAAGACATGCCGACTAGGTAGATTGGTGACCCTAAATTGTCCTTAGGTGTGAGTGTGAGTGGTTGTCTGTCTGTGTGGCCCTGCGATGGACTGGCGACCTATCCAGGGTGTTCCCCAGCTGGGATTGGCTTCCAGTACACAGGAAAAGCGGTTGACAATGGATGGGATTTCAGGAGTCCAGGTACACCCACCTATGCCTGAGATGACGTTTTGGAGCTACGACACACTTCCTGGAAAATACCAGCATCATCATTCCGAGAAATGCAACAGTTCGCAGAGACGATAACCAATTTTTCGGATGTGCGCTCACTACTAAATAAAATGGATGAACTTTCTGCACTGGTTAAATTTGACTCTGTTTACCGGAACACAAGCATGTTTTGTTTCACTGAAATGTGGTTGTCTGAGAACATTATAGTGATGGAGACTAAGTCCGGGCTAGACCAGCTAAAAACCCGAAACAAGTCTTCACCACTTTGAGGAACTTGCTAAAATATTCAATAAGTTGTAGTCCAACTTCTCTGGAGACAGTCAAAAATCAGTGCAAAAAAGTTTTTATTCCAATAAAAGACAAAAATCCTTGTTACATCCTAGCAGGCATCAGTTCAGGATGAACTGAATGTGCAGTCAGCGAACACCATCTTTTAGAATCCTCAATCTTAGGCAGTGTCTTTGTTCAATAATGCCTTTGATTCCCATCTTTTTCCCCAAATATGTTCTTAATTTTTTGGAACCTTCTACTGGGGTACTTTTCCACTCTAAAATCTTTTTCCTCTATGTTCGCTGACTGCACTCTTTCTGGCTAGTGCCGATGGTGGATTTCTTATCCTCTACTGCCATCTGGTGGCCACTTTAGTGTACTAATTCACTTTATTAATCATTCTACTTATGTTTTATCAAATTTAACTATGTTTAACTATAAATCTTTGTAACAATATTGTTTTTATATTTTTTAAATGCTCTAGTTCTTAAATTCACCATTAGAACCACGAAAAGGTCAAATCGTATCTTTTTAAAACACATATATGCATAATTTGACACCATTAAAACTTAAACAAATAAGATTATATTTCAAAAAGGTTAACATGTTTTTCTAGTCTCACAATCATTTTAAATCAACCATGGAGCTCAAAAGACCCTACTGCAATCCATTTTATCATTATTCTTAAACGTTTACTGACTTTTCACTCTCTAAGGGCTTGGACTTCTAGGGTTTCCAAAGTGGCCCTTTCATTTATCGTTCTTGGTACAAAATCTCTTGCAGGTGGCTTTTCTTGGCAGATGATGGCCATTATCTGTCAGAACGGCTCCTTGAAGCTACTATTCTTGGCACGAAATGCTCATTATCTCTCATTGATGGTCATACTCCCTTTTTTCCAGTGGCATATGCCTGTCATTTAGCTGCATATACTTTCAATCCTAACATCGCCTCCTCCACACATCACCTGCACTCTTATCTCTTTCAAGCTTTTGCTTTTGGAATTATTAATAACTCAGAGTGTAAACTGCTTATAATAGTTGTCTTTTTGTTAGAACACAAATAATGGTGAAATGATTCAACTTGTGGAACACACTTTAAAACTCAAAGTATATAATATAATACTTACATCAATAAAATTATTACAAATGCTTTATGGAAAATATATATACACAACATTAGACAGATTTACATTCATATGTTTTGACTGGGACACTACTTTACAGTTTGAGAGAATGGCTGCGCACAGCACTACAAAAATATCGTTTCTATTTAATTCGCGAGTTCACACAACTGACAGAAGTCAGTTGTGTGAACAACTGTTGCTGATTTAAATTACATTTTTGGAGCTCACAGTTACATGACATCTTGGTTCAGATATTCAGACACATGTATTGTCTAACATCATAGTGTTTTCTCTGTAATTCTTGCCTATGTCCCAGGATTTTATTCATGGACTTTTCATCTGCTTTTAAAGAGGTGGTATTATGCTTTTTGGCTTTTCCCTCTCCTTTATTTAGATATATATCTTTTTTGTGCATGTCTTACGTTTGCAAAGTGAAAAAGCCCAAAGTCCAGCCCAAAGGGAGTTCCCATCTCCCACAGAAAACTCTGCTCTGAACTGCTGAACAGCTCGTTTGTATTGCAGCCGTTTCCCTTTGAAGTCACAGGGATGAAAGCCATATCCGCGTCATGTAACACTCTCCAAGCAACTACTCCGACACGCCCTCAAAAACACCGGTGGAAAAACAGTGAGCTGCAGCACACAGCTCTCCTCTCCCTTCCAAATACTAGCTACCCTCCAGGCAGTCAGTGGACATAAAGTTGTTACTGTGATGTAGAGACAGAGCTCAGTTATAACTTTATGGATGAAGATACTTTTGTTACAGATTAATAACTCACCACTCTGAAACTCTTGCTCCAGTTCATGTTGCTAAGCTGGAAAGGGGAACATATACAGCTGATTGACTAGTAGTCCTTCACTAGGAACTGCGCATGTGCAACTCCCAACAACAAAAGAGGAGCTGCAGCAATGTGCAGTACGATAAAAAAATATGGTGTTTTTAAAAAAATAAACCATGTAAAGCTGTTCTGGTACAACCCCTAAATAGGATCTTGAACCTGAAAATGAGGAAATACCAACCTCTTTAATACAGTAAACACAAACACACTTCTGCACCACCCCCATGGACTACAAGTCAACATAACACTGGTTATATGGATTTATGATTTTTTAAAGGACAGACCCCAACATGTCAGAGTAAATCGTCTTCAATCCAGTGATGTCTTGTCACCCATCCTTTCTCCACATACACATATGACATTACCTGCAAACAACTCAAACCCAGCTGTTAGACATTTACAGTCACGCAGTAAAAAGAAAGGCAGACTCCATCACTAAGAACCCTTCACGCTCCTTTCAGCTACTTCTATAAGGCCACCCAACAGAGCACCTAAGGCAAAAAAAGAACCCACACAAACTCTTTCATTCCCACTGCAATATCCATTTTAAACAAGGCCAAATAAACTGACACTAATTTTTTAATGCAGATTTGCACTCCTGCTCTTATTTATGTCTATGTTTCTGTTGTATGTGAGCCCCTAACCTAAGACAATTTTTTATCATTATGTGTTGGACAGTAAAGTTTTTTGAATTGAGAGAGAATTTGAATAAACAGAAATATATTGCATGTTGCAGTGCTGAGGTTATTTGAATTTAAGAATCTCATAACCTGGGAGAAGAACCTGCTCTGCAGTCAGGTGGTGCGGCAGCAGCAGAAACTTCTATATCTCTTCCCAGAAGGCAGCAGAGTGAACAGGCTGTGGCTGGGTGGGTACTGTCCTTTAGTATCCTTTGGGCTCTGCAGGCACCTCACCTCACTGATATCACTGATGCTCGGGAGATGGGTACCAATGATCTTCTGAGCAGTTTTAATCACCCGCTGCAGAGCCCTCCGGTCCTGGGCCGTGAACATCCCATGTTGGTGATGTTTCCAGTCAGGATGCTTTTTTTATTACTTCTCTGTAAAAGCTGACAAGCAAGAACCACATGTGGATTCATCTGATGTTGAAAATAGTTCCCAACAAATGCATTTCCTCCTGTTTTAGTAACATTTGTTAAGAAGAAGTAAGCAGCTGTTTTTAGGAAATTAGTGAACCTTTTTTAAAAGTGAAACTATGTATTTGTGAGCACAAATCTTCAGTAGTAACCAATTACCTTGTGGCTGACAAATCTATAGAATAACCTCAGACTGATCAGTAATCAGTGCATTATTGTTTGTTTCAGAGCAAGACAGAAGGAACCATATGGAAAGACATCGATGATCTCAGGGTGTTTGAAGTTCTGGATCTAGAAGAGTTCCAGAGGATCTTCTCGGCTTACCAGAAGCCACAAGTAACATATACCACCCTAACATTTCATTTTCTTGCTTGCATTTAATTTTATGTTCCATAATTCTTTGTGTCATTGGCACATTTATTCATCCATGTATACATGTCTTTTAGTTGAATTTACTAGTTAAATTGTCAAGACCTTTTTTTTGGTATACCTATTCTCCATTTCATACCGTCCAAGATATGCAATCAGGCACAAGAGAAGACTCATTCAAGAGCCAAGAGCAGTTGTGGGTGCCAGTCATTTTTTTAGATGCTTTTCTCAAGTTTATCAGTATTTTTACACTTCCTAGTGATAAACAATATGTCTCAATGTTGTATTGTCTATACAATACAACATTGAGACAATAATATTGTTTTTATGCCAAGTGCCCAATCTTAGCATTGCAGAGTACTGTTAAATTGTACTGTATTTTGTTGCATTCTAATACTTTTTTATGTATTAACAGAAGGATGCTGAAGATGACCATACTTTTTCTAAGAAAGTCAAGGAGCTGTCAGTAATCGATGGTCGCCGAGCACAGAACTGTAACATTCTCCTCTCACGGTAAAAGCCTCTGTAGGATGTCAGTAATACAGTACAATTAACTGTTGCTGTTAGCAGCCTGGATATGTTGTTTATCTCTGCATGTGGGCTGTTTCCACACATTATGACAGGGAAATAGGATAGATTTACCCAATGGGGTACATTGAAGTGAAACATCATCATCATCATCATCATTGTAAACTTGGGTATCATGAATTTGACACTGGTATTTACCTCATTGTTGCCTGTTTGAGGGGCATTTCCTCCTTCTAGGAAATTCCAACTTTATGAGCTGCCTCAATGCACCATTACCATTACGTTTCTCTGAGGCCAGGTGGCCCTGACAAAGACCCAAAAGTTATTCCTATGTAAACCGTCTCAGTGGTGGAGGTATTTCAGAAACTGCTGATCTACTGGGATTTTCACACATAACCATCTCTAGGATTTACAGAGAATGGCCCGAAAAAAAAAAAAAAAGGAGAAGTGGAACAGGAGATTTGCATTGTGGATTTGCAGCCAACAAATCTGCTGCAACTGCATGATGCTGTCATGTTAATAAGGACCAAAGTCTCTGAGGAATGTTTCCAACACTTTGTTGAAAGTATGCCACAAAGAATTAAGATTCTGAACCGCCAACCTTCCGATTAACAGCCAACCCGCTCTACCTCCTGAGCCACAGCCGCATAGTATAGGCCGTAGGCCATAGGCCATAGTATATGGCCGATGGCGTATATGATGGCAGTTGTCAAATCATCAGATTTGGCCCACAGTCCGCTGCTTGCCTACCCCGACATAGGGTTTTTTAGCTGTCATTTTTAGTATGATATATTAGTATGTAGTATGAATATTTTTTAATCTAAATTTGTGTCACAGGCTGAAGCTGACCAATGAGGAGATCCGCCATGCCATCCTGACCATGGATGAACAGGAGGACCTACCTAAAGACATGCTGGAGCAGGTGCCAAGACATACACATACACACAACACAGTCTGAAGACACAATGGACATACTAAAAATGACATGTACCATTATTTATTCAAAAAGATTTTAGCAACGTAATTCACCTTTTGGATTTGGGATAATATTGGATCAGTTCGGCAACAGTGATGCATGTCTGCTGAAACATTCTTATCTATTTTGGGCTCAGTCATGTGTGATAAATAGTTACATAAAGACCTTTTCAAATCAAATGCACGTATGATAGTTTGTGTGTATTTGTCTGTGTGTAAAGCTTCTGAAGTTTGTTCCTGAGAAGAGTGACATTGAACTGTTAGAAGAACACAAGCATGAGTTGGAACGTATGGCCAAAGCAGACCGCTTCCTGTATGACATGAGCAGGTACACGCACACAAAACCCACACACAGCAAGCCTGGATATGTCGACATGGCAGTTTCTCAGCAAGAACACGTGAGAGAGACCGTACTTGTTTAACTCCTCAGTCGATCCTGTGTCAGAATCAGAATCGGGTTTATTGCCAAGGAGGTTTATACAAACACAGAATTTGTATTGGTATTTTGGTGTATAACAATAAATAGATTAAGATTTAAAAAAATAAGCACTACAAAAGTCAAGAACTGTAGTTTATAGTTTGTGCAGGAATGTGGAAAATATTGACCAGGGAATGTGCAGACTTTACAGTATGAAGTAGAAGTATATTTGTGTGTTCAGATTTAATCAAATAGGGATTTACATCAAGTGATATACCAAATATTGCTCTATCGCTTCCTGCTGGTACAGTTGCCAGTGACTCTGTAGAGACAATTTGGATCCACTCACAATTTTCTGTTCTCACTCAGCATCAACCACTACCAACAGAGACTGCAGTCTCTCTACTTCAAGAAGAAGTTTGCTGAGAGAGTGGCTGAGGTGAAACCTAAAATCAAAGGTATTCTTTTCTGTCTCAAATCAGTAGTTCGCATCGGATAAATGGATGACAGTAAATGTTCGAGAGGGTTACATATGAATTCATTTGGATAAATGCATTTCTCTCTATAAGTGTCTTTAAGCTCTGTTTTGGATCCCCTGCTGAAGATATTATATAAGATATCATATATTACAATATTGATTGTCTGTCACATGTATGACATTCCTTCCTTGTCTCTGTGGTTTCAGCTCTGAGTCTGGCATCCAGGGAGGTGACTCAGAGTGGGAACCTGCGGCAGCTCCTGGAGGTGGTTCTGGCCTTTGGGAACTATATGAACAAAGGACAACGAGGAAATGCCTATGGATTTAAATTATCCAGTCTCAACAAGATAGCTGACACCAAGTCAAGCACTGACAAGTACAGTTCACAACAAGGCTATCTACATTATAGGACTTTTTCACAGAAGACATTTTAACATGTGACTGTAGGAAAAGTACTGCTTTAAATAATACAGTGAATTATGGCTGAATTTATTTTCAGTGTCCTGGTATTGTTTATTCTGACTCACTGTCACACTGTCATGGCTTACTGGGACACTTGAATAGAACAGATCTATTTTGTTATTAGTAACACATTTGTTTTCCTACTACTAGTGTATGACAAGTCAAAATACCTCCTGTGAAGAAAAGCCTATTTGCAAGTTGAGTTATTTCTTCTGAAAGCCGCTGAGAAGTGATAAATGGTTCATTGTTAAATGAATGTGGTGTGTTTGTAGAAACGTCACTCTGCTCCACTACCTGATCACTGTACTGGAAAAGAAGTACCCTAAGGTGGCAGCTTTCAATGAAGAGCTACAACATGTGCCAGAAGCTGCTAAAGTCAAGTAAGTACGTGCAGACACACAGACTTTTTGTCAGTGGCTGTAAATGTGGAATGATGTTGTTCAAAATATATTGGGCACCTTGTATAGTCATATTTATAAAAGCAGGATATTTAACCGTCTCAACTTTTAAACCAAGTATACAAGTAGTGTAGAGCAACACTGGGATGGAGACTGGATCCAAGAAACTGTTCCAGTCTAAGAAAAGTTTATTAGTTTAATGCAGCTGGCAATGACTGTCATGTTAATCATTACCTCTACCCTCCCATGTGTCTCTCTGCCTCTTTCACTATTTCTCCAGTATGACAGATTTGGAGAAGGACATTGGCAATCTGAGATCTGGCCTGAAGAGTGTTGAGGAGGTGAGTAAGCTCAGTAGAGTGATTCAAAGTCAGTTCCGTATTCAGTATGATTAATGTTTATCCGTTGGGAACAACAAATACTTGCATATTTGAAATCAGTGTGTCTGTATCTGTACATCTAACTGCATGTATCTCTGTCTGATGTGTGTTTGTCCCTCTCCAGGAGCTGAAATACCAGCAGGCTCAGTCCCCTGAGGGCCCTGCAGATAGGTTTGTCCCTGTGGTCAGTCAATTCATCACTGTGGCCTCTTTCAGCTTCTCTGATGTAGAGGAGTCACTCAGTGAGGCCAAAGAAGTGGTGAGTGGGCAACAGATACTGTTCACATCAATTTTGTCCATTTTCTGCTCCTGCATTCAAACACTTCATCATAACAGCAGTCTCATTGTGGTAATAGGTTGAGTAACTGGTAACCAAATGGAGCATCTTTGGGAGCCACCACCATCATTAGGCTAGCAGTTTCCCACTGCTTCATATCTTAAGCTGAGCTAGGCTAACCGTGTCCTGACTCCAGCCTTACACACAGTGTACTAACACACAGACTCCTGGAAATAGCTTTTCAAATTGCTGATGTGAAGATATGTCAATGGGTTGCCTATTAATATTCATGTTTGCCTTCATATTCCGTTACAGCATCTATTTCTAGGCCAAATCTTTCTGTCACGAGAGCACTGTGGTTTGTCCTCGTGTATAACAAACAAACAAGCACTGAGCTTAAATGTGCTTCCACATAGTATAGAAAGTGAATTTGTAGCCTTGACCACGAGAGTGAAGCAAATGAACAAATTATGTCTGTTGTTGAAGTTTGGAAAGGCACTGAGACACTTTGGAGAAGACCTGTCCAACCTGCAGCCGGATGAGTTCTTTGGGATCTTCGACACTTTCCTCACAGCTTTCTCAGAGGCCAAATCGGACAACGAGAACCTGGCCCGTCGCAAGGAGGAAGAGGAGAGACGGGCCCTCATGGAGTCACAGGTTAGAAGACAATATCAGCTCAGATAAGAGAGATTTACTGTAGGCAGACGTGTGAAAAGCATTCATTTGAAATGGTACATACTGTATTTCAATTGTTCTGAACCAGGTGTCTGTTACAAATTAGATAAATTAAAATTATTCAATCCTTTGCATTTGAATTTGCATTCAATAGAAGATTGCACAAAAACACTGACTTCACTGACATTGCCTACCCGCTTTCCCCATTTCCATATACTGATACACCTCATTCATGAATAAATGTCTGGTAAAGATGTTAAATGAACCCTAGCCATCCATCCTCTCCTGTCATGATCTCACTCTCCTCTCCAGCTGAAGAGAGACAGGGAGCAGAAGGCGAGGAAAGCCAAAACAAATCAAGAAGAGACAAATGAAGATGGGGAGTTTGATGACTTGGTGTCTGCTCTGCGCTCTGGAGAGGTGTTTGATAAAGATCTGTCCAAAATGAACCGTGGAAAACAGCGGAGACATAACATGTTCGACAACAGCCGTGAGAGACCAGTAACAAAACTAAACCAGTAGCAGGACACTTCATGGACAGCAGCACTTCACTGGGACTGTTAAAGCACTGCTGAAACACATGAAAGTCTTAGTAACACTGTTGTGGGCGTGGAGTTATCTTCACTTAAATTCACATAATGGTTCATGGGGCAAGTTTGTGTACAGAGTACATAAAGATACCTATACATATATGTATATACAGTATATAGAAACAGTACAACCATTTATGTACTTTGGCCCTTCATTGTGTTACCATGCACTAAGACTATTGGTTGCTCATCTTTAAGCCATTTGTCATGAGAACTGTCTTGTTTTACGCTTTCATAAGGTTCATAAGGGAATAGTTCAACATTCATTTTACCTTACTGTAAAGACATCACTCAGTCCAACATAAAAAACTGAATTTGTTTTTTCAGTAGAAAAACATATAGCATACTACGCACACTGCTTCCAAAATCAGCAGTCTTCCAACCCCCAAACTCTCAGGCCACACTCATGGCACTCACCACAGCACATGACCCTGGACACCCCCTCATCCCATTTTTCACTCTACTCCCATCTGGTTTCAGATACAGGACATTTAGATGGAAAAAGGCACATCAGTAGGAGTTTTGTCCCCTATGTCATAGCTCACTAAATGTATGCATATGTATTAATGGCACTGGATTTATGCGAGTTATGCACTGTAGAAATATACATATCTATTTTAAGGATGCACGCATAATGACATTGAGGACAAGTCTATCATTTTGGGAAATACACTTATTTGCTTTCAAGCCTCTATGGCCTGAATACATATATGAAGCTCCTGCCAGCAGTTAGTTAGCTTAGCTTGAAACAGCTAGTGTGGGTCTGTCCAAGGGTAACACAATCTCCATAGTCACCACACAGACATGAGACTGAACCTACAATTCTAATCTAAATCTCGAACAGTAAGTAAAGATGTGTATTTCGCAAACAAATTGCAGTTGATGAAACAAAGAGACCACAAAGTTTTCCGGTATGAATTCAACTTGCACTACTCTAGTTTTTATGTGAAAAAAACTCTTATAGTTGTGTGTGTTATAAGAGTGGCTGCTGTCTACATCACAGAGAATGAATGGTTGACTTAAAGTATGTTTGGCTTTTTCTGTTCAACATTTATCTGCAGGATATTTTGCACAGTAGAAAATTATATATAACTGACCACGATTTCTGATGTGGCTAATAATGAATAGATTAGACCGAATGAAATGTGTTTTTTGTTTTTTTGTTTGTGTCTTGTCTCAAAGTTTCTTCAGATAAAGTTCAACCTTTTCAATGTGTCGGTGGTACAGACAACAGCAGACGCTGGAACTGTGTCTAAAGATTCATTCTCTAACAATGTCATTTACAGTATCTAACTTAATGAATGTATTTAATTGGATTGACCTGAAGCAGAACACAGTAATATTTGTCCTGTTGTAATAACTGAAAAAGATTTTTCCAAAACTAACTCAGTCTTCTTTGACTGATTGTAAGTGTTTTATTGTTAAGCATTGTAAGTAACCAACAACAAACCTATAATGTATGTTCTCAGGTAGATTATGTTATGTAAATGATGGTGTTTATAATATGCCTTGTAAGTTTTTACACCTCTGGTTTAATGATTTAAAGATACCAAATACTTTTAAGTGTAATTTAATTTAAAGTGTATCAATAAATAATAATCAATAAACTACAAAATACAGCTGCCAAGCCATGTATCAAAATGAACTATTGTATTTTTGTAGTTCAAAAATACTAAATACTTTTCCAAGGAATCGTGAAATCACTTTGTCACCTTCTGTCGTCCTCTTTGATCTTTCCCTTCACCAGAACACTGACTGAGCTGATTAAGTTTTGAGGAATCACTACTATTATTGGAATTTAACTGCATGCAAGACAGGTAGGTAGCTGCCAGAGATCAGTTATATTTTTCACTGATGATGCTACCATGAAAACTGTTTCAGGAGTGCACTCATGTCTCTGCACATAGGCTACTGCCTCTCCATGCTCTTATCTCTGCCTCCAATCTCTTTCTGACTAGCAAAAGAGGGAGAACAACTTGGAGGCATGCATTTTCTGTCACTCATCCAAATCCTTGATCCAGAGATCCAGTTTAGTGAACACAGTAGCCCCCTAGAGAGAGTCAAAAGCAGAGGTCATGAGTTAACAGGTGTTTGTTCTTTACCGTGATATTATTCAGTCCACTGTAGTCAATGCAGGGTCTTAAGGAGCCACCCTTCTTTCCCACGAAGAAGATGATGCCAGCCTCTAGAGAATCTTTAATAAAAGTATCCTTGGCTTAACTTGAACTGCTGCATGACTCGGTAGGACTCTCCTCCCTCCTAGCAAGTCTGCCTGTTTGATGGATGGTTTGGGCAGGAGGCCAGGAAGTGACAAGTGATGCAGCGCTGCCGCTCCTCATGATCCAAACAGTAGAGACTCAGCTGCATGGGCTCACCTCCTACCGCTCCAGTCAGCTGAGACGGAGATACATCACTGCTCTAAAGTTGTCGCCGTTCTCTCCTCCGTTCCTGGAGCCGGTTGTCAATGTGGATAGCCAGGGAGAACATTTACAAATCAGTAGGTTCAGGATAGGAAATCATGTCCTCTTTTATTGACTCACTCAATCCTTGAGTGAAGACTGCTTGCAGGGACACCTAGTTCCAGCCACTTGTCACTGCCAGTGTACAATACTCAAGTGGCAAACCCAGCCACACTGAGAGAAAGCAATCTACCCAGATGGTCAAATACCTTGCAGAGCTTACACAGAACATAGCATAAGAAGAGGTAGATGATGACTGTCTCTCCCAAACTGCAGATGCCCACTTCAGTGCTTATCCCCGTAGTAAGCCTTAGTTTGGTCCTGGCTTCTGATAGAACACCAAATCACACTGCATTAGAAAACGCTAACAATGTTGAAATTACCATTGTACCGTTCAAGCTAGGAACCCCCGGTTACCGGTTTGGCTGGGGGGCTGGCTCTTGAGCCAATGCTGGTATGGATGTTGGTGCGGTGCAGGAGTGGCGATGGCAGTGTTAAGTTGAGTTTGTAGAGTGGCAACCATGGTGTAGAGGTTTTGAAGTCCCTCCATAACTGCCTGAAGAACTTGACTGTGCAGGCCCAACAAAGTGCCCTGATTAGTTATTTCTAGCTGGACTGTATCCAGATCTGCTGGGTTCATGCAGGACTGGTGTAATGAACCCAGAAGCAGACACGAGACAATCCGGTAAGTTAATCAGTTTACCTACTTAGTTGTAGGGTTGGTAAGGGACATCTTTTCACATCAGAGTGGCAGGTTGGAGTTTCTAGTCTTGCGACCACTTAAAATGCTTTTATACTACGTCACATTCATCGTATTCACACACGTCCATACACTGATGGCAGAAGCTACCATGCCAACTGCTCATCGCACCAGAAACTAATCATTCACACAAAGGGAGCAATTTGGGGTTCAGTATCTTGCCCAAGGACTCTTTGACATGCAGACTGGATTAGCTAGGGACAATGATCATATCAACATGTTTTCATCATCTTTTGAAGTTTAATGAATGTGCCAGTTAGAATTAATTATCATAGTCATTGAGTCAACAATTAATTGCGGACACCAAATGGGCTTGCCAAAATAACGCTACGGTTTCAAAAAGAAAATCAAAAAGAAGACAACACGCTCAACTCAAGATGGGACCTTGAAAACTGGGTGCTGCAACCTTAATGTAGTAATAATAAAAAATACACAGGTGGGGTTAGTTATTGTTTCTGCAAACTATAATTATAATTGTATAATTGACCCCACCTGTGTATATTGATTTCAAAATAGCTAGAATACGGCGAAGAAGGGCAACTTGCACGAATGTCCGTGTGGCAATATTAAACAAATAACAATTAGTTTTACAACAAGCTGCCAGATGGCTGTTTATAGTGCCTTTAAATCCTAGCTCACACTACACGATTTTTAGCCCGATTTTCCGCTCGGCGAGCTCAGTGACCGCCAGGCTGTGATCGGGAGTAAATCAGCGGTCGATTGGCGATCGGCGGGCGCCAGTTGTTATGTGTGAACTGCACAACAACGCATCAAAACGGCTCCCTGACACATTTCTGACACATCGCAGAGGTCTGCCAGATATCTAGCATGCCAAATATCTGGAGGAATCGGCCAACTCGACATCCTCTTCCAGCCAATGAGAGCAGGCAGCTACTTTTCACTGCAAAACACTTTTAACTCTCCTCCAGCTCTCTCTGTAGCTCAGACAATCCCTGCTACCTGCGCGTGCTAATCCATCTTTTCACCCAGATTCTTTGTCTTTATAATTGCCACCTTTATAATAACAAACAACAGCTGTTTTTACTGTTTCACATTTCACGTGGGTCTTCTTGACGCAACGCGGTTTAGAGACCTGCGTCGGGTGTCGCTGCCACTGTCAGCTCGTGTAGTATGTGACCCACTGTCACCGATCAGTCACGTATTGTGAATGCCACAACAACTTCAAGACTCCCGTCACACTGAAAGTCCTGCAGTCTGCACAAGGCTTAAGATTATCATGGTTAGCTACTCACACTATGGCCTGCTAACGTTAACTTTGCTGTCCAATTTAAGACACCAGAATGTTAAACAAACTTGATTCACATTGAGAAATGAAACGGCAGCCTCCTCTTTTTTATGAAACATTCTACTTTCCCCACTTTCCGCCACTGGCGCACATTCATTTTAAGTTGCTGAATTCACTTTTCCAAGATAGCAAGTACCAGGCAGGAAAAAAACAGTTGTTGCTTGGATATTCAATATTCATGTTCTTGCCACACAACTCTATCATCAATCATTTATCTCTTGCCAATAATTTGTATTGGTGAATTATTTACGAGAATTACAGCCTAACCAGGCTTCTTTTGTTATTTACTAGCTCCCGCAGCTTGTTCATGTATACATGGATGAGTGTGACTGGGTTTGGTGTGAAAAAGCTGAAAAAATAGTGTCTTCAGTTAAATTTAGAAAGTGGTATCATTTTTGTGTTAATGTTCATTTTAACAGTGAGTACGATGTTCTGGGAATGATTTTGACTAAAAGACATCCGTGTGATTGTGAAAACTCATTGTATGTCAGCGTTAAATGTATAGATGGTGTTCTCCTCACCATAGTCGGCGTATCCAGCTGTGTGTAGAGAACGTGCCCTCTGAAGGACTGACACTGTTCTGTGATCTGGCTCCATTTACATAACAAGACATTTCTATTCCAAGACCTCAGAGGATCAACACGCTTCTTTCTGAGGAGTGAATGTTTCCAAACATGCACAAATCTGTATAGAGCTTCGTGTTTTGTGGTTTCTTAACTGTGTGGCATACCTGGATTCTTTAATTTACTGAATGTTTGTTCTGCCTTGTTTGAAAGGCTGCGCTCTTGGCAACAAATGTCAAGCTCACTAAATGTCAAGTGGGAATAATATTTACCTACTGGTATGTCTTTGTAATTGTCTTTTTTATTGTAGAGTTTTATTAAAGTAACAGGGCAGGAGCTAAAAGGAAGAACATATATTTCATAACCACTAATTTAATGGAACTGCTTCTGGTGCTGGTGTGTGTGTGTGTGTGTGTGTGTGTGTGTTTACTAGCTATGGAAATACTGTTTGTCGCCCCTTGTGGAGGCTCTCGAGCACACAGAAACAAAACAGAGCTACATTCAAGATCGCGCCCAGGCACAGCGAGTGTATGATAACGCCATCCTCCTCATTCTACAACTAAGAATTTACACCACAGATCACAGGCTGAGGATGAAGTCTGCACGGTAGTCTTAAATTAATCAAATAACCATTTGTCGTGTCAGAAATGCTGTGCTGCGTCCCTCTCTGCGCGCGGAGTGTTCACGAACGCCCAGCCCAAGGCGAGCTGCTGCTGCCTACTTCCTGGATCCACAGCAACAGATGAACAGGCTGGTTGGCAGGAGCTTTTCATTCTGTCCTGGTTAACCACAAGAAAAGCTTCGGGTTTTCACTCCAACATCGTCGGCTTGTGTTGAGGAGTGTCGCCGCTCTGCCGCGATGGTGGAGACTCCAGTTGGCTGTCTGTTCGAAGACATCCAGTACGAAGACATCGAAGTTGAAGCGGTAAACTTACTAACAGCAGCTCAGCATAGGGAATTAACGTCAGCTCTGCATGGGGGGTGGGTTAGGGGTAACGTTAGAGTTTAAACGCAGTTGGGCATTCTTTGTATCCATGAGTGAGGCTGAGGTAAAGACAGCCTGGAAGTTACCTGCACTGTGAGAGTGGAACACTGAGGTCTGAACGAACAATGAAACACTGTACTAGTGGAAAACTTAAACGCATCTTGTCAAGCACAGCAAGGCCCCAGCTTTTAGAAGGGCAGAGGAGTCGTAACATGTGCACAGGAACTCAGTTGTAGCTACTTGCAAACGTGCAGAAGTCATATTTAGTTTGCTGTTAAGGCAGGAAAAGTGAGAGCCTTTAAACCCAAACAAAACACCAGACTTGTCCTGTTTACCACTGCCAGATTCATCTGCTTGGGGGGGCTGTGTAAAAAGGTACTCTGATAAAAGTAAAAAGTAGGTCAGTTAACTCTGAGGAGGGGGTGGTGGCGATGTGTTATATGATAGAACTATTGCATTAAAGGCCACCCCTAGGCTACAAAATGAACAGGATAAACATTACACTAGTGAAATAACATCACCTTTCTATGGTGTGAAGGGCAGAAGGACCAGATGCAAGGGCGGTAGATTTA